GTTCTTCTATCTTAGTAGTGTTGAGAGATTTATCTTCTAGCTCACTAGTTCTAGCTTCCATCTCTTCAATTCTACTCCTTTGCCCTTTCAGTGTATTGTCCATTTCTGATATTCTATTAATTGTTTGGACCTCTTTCTGTAGGTTTTACATTGTTTCCAATGCTGTATCTATCTTATTTGATTATTCCTGTAGCTCTTTCCTGACTTCCTCCTTATTTTTCTCAATTCCATTATATAGTGTTTTGGTACATTTTATAATCATTTTTCTGAATTCCTTCTTAGGCATTTCCAAAGCCTGCCCATTTTCCAGTATGGAGTGTAGGTCTACTTCCAGCTCATTTGCCTCAGTCACTTCATATTTCTGGACATGTGCAGATATGGTCATCTGCTTCTGTTTTTTAGGCATATTCAGGAGTTATCTGTGGCTTTAATACTTAGATGGGTGTGTGTTTTGGTATTTTTTATGATTTCTGAATGCCTCCAGGTAGATGTGATCAGGAGATGGGCTTCCCTTTTCACTTTTCTTCCTCAGAAATCTCAAGATGGCCCTGTAGGTTGTTTTGACGTAATTCACAGGATTTAATTTTTGGCCTATTTCATTTTTAGTTTGCCTGTCCCAATCCACAATCCCCGTTCAGGCTTTTTTTTCTAGTTATAAACAGTTCAGGGCTGGCTGTGGCCATTTAGTTTTAAGTGGAAACTGTCTCTTTAAATTTTGATGAGGTCTGTGTGCATGCATAGTAGAACCCTCCAGAGGTGGGGGTGGGGCATCCACTCGCTCATGAACCCCCTCTAGTCACCAGAATGGAGGTGCGCAGACGTCGAGTGAACAATGAACAGATACAAAAACAAAAAACAAAAAAAAATGTCCACACCTTTATCTCTGCAGTTCTGTCAGGCGTCCATGGCTGCTCTGGTCTTTCCCCCCTAGGTCTTGCCCAAGATGGTGGCTTCAGGAGCAGCTGAGCATCTTGAATTAGAAAGCAATGGATTTCTTGCTTCTGCTACAAATTCTCCTAGCTATAAGCCTTCCAACCTTCTAAATATTCATTTATATGTGGTTCAGAGTTCTGGGACCATCCCCTGAGCCTGCTTGGTCTGGTATTCTGTGTTGTTGCTGATGGAGCTTTTCACTGCACTTCTACCCTTTCTGCTGTCTTGTTTGTTCTCCAAGGCTGTAAATCTTTATGGGAACAGAAAAGTCTCATCTTTGTCCTAAAGAGCATTTGGTAGATTCGAACTGCTGAATCTTGTGTTAGCATCCTAGCTCGCAATCCACTATGCTACCAGGGCTCTTTATTAAACCATGTTAAAACAAACAAACAAAAAATATTCTTCATACAAACCCATATGTGTCATCCACCAGATTTCATCAGAATTTCATTATAAAGAATCCTGGCATAGTAGAATAAGCACTGAACTATTAACCACAAGGTGGGGGTTCAAACTCACCAGTTGCTCCTTGAACATTCTAAGCAGGTTTGGTATGAGTTGGAAACAGACTGATGGCCCTTAACAAAGGGATTGGACTGTTTGCTAATAAAGCAGATAAGGTGCATAGCTTTCTTAGGGTTTAGGACCATGCAAATAAGTTGTATAGAACCCTAATGAGGGGATTGATCAGTTTTACTATCCCACTAAACTTAAAAGAAGCCATTCCACAGGCAGGAATTAAAGATCTCACTACCACCAAGAAGAAGATGGAATTTAATCATATCCTTTGGATGTGGTGTCCCTGTATTGAGAATTTCCTAGATCAAGAGACAGAGAGAAAGTTGTAGCACTGAAGATGGCATAAGATGGCAAGAAGTGATGGCAGAAAAATAGTAGTAGCAGAATAAAGAGACCAACATGAGATGGAGAGGTGGGCTTCCCAGGCCATGAAGCAAGGTGGTTACAGTGGGTGTGCCAACCCACGGAGCAAGAGAGCTGAGCACCTTTGGGCTGAGACTTGCTGGCACTGTGGGATGTCCTTAGGCACTTTCTGGTAGAAGTAAAGAAGCCAGGCCAAGAAACTCAGAAGCCACTGGCTAGAACAAGGGCTGTCTGAAGCCATGGCTAAGACGAGGCTGTGCCAATCAAAGAACTGTATCCAGACTCTTTCATGATCCCGAATTGTAACCTGTTAATTTACTAATAAACTCCATAACTGTGACTATGGTCTGTGAGCTCTGTGTGGTCATTGAAATGAATTAGTGAACCCAGCAGAAAAGTAGAGAGTGCCATGGGAAGAATGGCTGGAGTCAGAAATGATTTAAAGGTCGGAGAGTGGAATTATGTCTGTCCTCTGCTTCAGCCTTGGGCTTTTGATGCTGACAGTGATTCTCCTCCTTCCCACTTGTGAAGTTAGACAACGGAATCTTACATTCCTGCCACACCATTTTCACAACTGGAAACGATCAACACACTAACCTGAGCTACCAAGTTTTAAGAAGATCTTGAAATAATGTTTCTCTTTTCCTCTGTGAATATCCTTGAATTTTCCATAAGAATGATATTCAACATTGGTTCTTTAAAATATTCTTGCCAACTGTGTCCATTTGCAAAAAAATTTGCCAAGAGAACTAACTTCTCATCTTCTTGACTCAGGATTTTCTCAATACCAAAGCAGAATTTAGAAATAAATTAAGGATTATAGTACAACTACATCATAACCAAGGATGACAATTGATACTTGATCAGCACATGGTCCACATGAGTTGACTCTGTGATCTTCTAGAAATGTGAACTTCTACAATCCTACCTTTATCTGTAGTATGTATGTTCAGTAGATGAGTGCCCTACATACTATTTTGTTTTGTGAATGTTTTATTTTGCTAAAACAACATGTGCCAAAGAGGAGATGGAGGTGCTCTGAAGGGACGGATTAGGTGCAAAACCACAACCAGACTGTTATCAAAGATGGAAAGTACAGAGGGGCCACGGGAGTATGTATCAAGATGTCGGTTCCCAGCTCTACATGCCTCAAAAAGATGATAACTGGGTGGGACGAGGGCCCAGGTTTCACCCACAACTAACTTGAGGGTGAGGTTTTGCCAAATATGGAGGGTACAGCTGTGCCTTCGGTGAGCTTGTCGACCTGTCTGGGCTTGTCCTGGCTGCTTCTCTTCAGTTACCCCCGCCTGTGGGGACCTGGGCTTCCTGCTGCCCCACCTGCTCTGAGCCTGGCCTCTAGTGCAGGCAGAAGTTTGTTCTCAGAAAAGCTGTGAATCACTGTGTCTCTGTTTAACTAAGATGATTCTCTGAGCTCCTTTGTTGGCTGAATTGTTTCAGAGAGAAGTGTCATTGATCTAATCTATCATACTAGAGACCCAAGTTCCATCCCAGGTCAATGCAACTCATGCACAGCTACCACCTGCTGGTTAATGGAGGCTTGCATGTGAGACCAAACCACTTTGGACAGAGCTTCCAGACTAAGATGGACTACTTCTGAAAATCCACCAGTGAAAACCCTATGGATCATAACGGTCTAATCCACAGTCCATCATGGGAATGGTGCAGGATGTGTTGTCAATGAAAATAAATACTTTCCTCGTTCCATTGTGCATGGAGTCACTGTGAGTTCATAGAGAACTCAATGACAGCTGAACACAACTACCACAACTACAGACTATGCTATTTCATCCTTAAAGCATTCCTCTTAAATTTGGTAGAAACTAAATTTAGTCAAAATCATACAGCTACTAAGAAACAGCAAGAATGCAAATCCAGTTTTGTCTAACCCAGAACTTGGCCCTCTCTGTTCCATACCTTGTCAGCCCAAGCAGGCCTGCAGCAGCACTTAATGAGTGTCTGCACTATGCAGAGCACAGTGCTAGGCTTAGCACTGAAAGAAGCTGAAGCCTCAAATTCTTGCCTTTTGGGAACAAATGCTTGAGTTGGAGGACCCCTTTTTTTAAAGGTGTCCTGGTGTGGCACTATGGGTTAATATGCTGGACTGCAAAGTTATTTGAACCCTAAGGTTAGCTGTGCAAGCTCATCAGCCGCTCCTCGGAAATCCTATCCAGGGTTGCTATGGGTCAGAACCAACTCAATGACACTCATCAACAACAGCAAATGCTGTGGGATAAAGCATTGAACCACAAGGTCGGCAGTTTGAGGCACCAGCCACTCCTTGGAAACCCTATACGGGGTTGCTATGAGTCTGAACCAACTCGATGGCACTTAACAACAACATCAATTAAAGGGAGTTGAATTTTGGAGCACAGAAAAGATGCTGAATAAAGGAATGAAGTATTGGGAGGGAGATATGAATCATAGTCACCTCCTTGGACAATGAGAAAAATAGAAATTAGCCAAAGGTGGAGGGAATCACAAACAGATGGCACAGAGAAACTTTCTGAGACCAACACGTGACAGGGAGGTAGCCTTCCCTAGCCAGAGGACCTCTTTGCCACACTGGGTGTAGATTGACTATATTAGGGCAAACGGACTGTTGTGGGTTCTTTAGCAGGGGGAAGGCGCCATGCAAATGACATGTGGGGGAAATAGTTCTAACGGACATCTGTGGTTAGCAGGGACTGATTATCATACTCCAGCCAGGAGGCAATGCCAAACCTGAACTTGAGTAGGGCCGGCAGGACTATAAGGACATCTAATATTCTTAGTGGTAAAACATTTGTAGTTTGGTGATTCAATTTAAAAACTAGTTGTGGCTTGGAACAATGAATGTCTGTAAGGTTAAAAGTAGATGTTTTGGAATTAATCAACTTTAAAAAAAAAAAAAAGTTGTTCTGGCTTAAGGAAAGGCAAAAAGGAGTACTATGACTCGACGGCACTTAACAACAACAATGGGTTTTTTTAAGTGTGAGTCAGACAATCAGGGGAAGTAAAATTTTTCGTGACTATCATTCCGAGGATGATTGTAGTTCCACCCCTTTTAATTCACCTCTGAAGAGGCAAATGACTTTTTGGGAACCTCCTAAATGCATGAGAAAATGTTTGAGAAATAGAATCACTGCTGAAATAAGTTCCACCCAATGTGTGAGCCCCCTGCTTACCTGAACTTCCAACGCCAAGCCACAAAAGGAGCCCCCCAAACCAGAGGCATCTTTCCCCAAGGCATCTGGGCATCGCTGGGCTGGAAGTCTCAGAGCTGGAGGGAAGCAGACCTTGAATGACAAAGAAACCAGGAAACCCAGCCTCTCACAGGGGTGGACACCAAACACCCACTGAGATATCAGCAATCATTAACTGGCCTTGTGACCTGTAAAAGAAAAGTAAACTTTCTTAATTTGCTTCATGTCTAAAGTTTTCAGTTTCTTCTTCTCAATGAAAATAAATACACTTTCTTTTCTCTCTCTCTCTCTCTTTTTTTTTTTTAATACCAAGAGACACTGAAACACATTGCTCTTCCTCTTGGAACCAAACATGATCAGGAAACTATTTCCGGCACCTCTCCCACTTCCCATTACAAAATGTTAGTCATAATCCAGCTAGAAGTCTTTTATCTCAGAGAGGTCAGAGGGGGGAGTGTCAAAACCCTCATTGCATTGGAATTCTTTGTGGATGTGTTTGTTTCCCTAGGAAGACTCATCGTTGAAGGCAAAGATCTTCTTTTTTCATTTTTATAACTGTCTTGTCGGCAGTTCAAATTTACCAGCTGCTGCTTGGAAACCCTACACAGGGTCACTATAGGTCAAACCGACTTGACGGCACTTTACAACAACAATCTAGCATAGAGTTGAGTCAATAATATATGTTGAGGATACAGCTTTATAATCATCTGTCAATTTGCCATACTGTGATGGTTTGAGTGCTGCTGTAATTCTTGAAGTTAGGCCATCAGTATTTCAAATACTCATGGTGGATGTGCTTTAGTGAAGCTTTCAGACTAAGACAGACTAGGAAGACTTGGTGATCTAATTTTAAAAATGAGTCAATGAAAACTCTATGGATCACACACAATAATATCCAACTGAACTCATACATGCCAATGATCATGAAGATAATGCAGGATGGAGCAAACTTTGTTCTGTCACCATGTGGGTCGCCATGAGTTGGAGCTGACTTAATAGCAGCTAACATCAAAGGAGCTCTGGTAGCGTAGTGGTTATGAATCGGTCTGCGAACCACAAGGTCACCAGTTCGAAACTACCAGCTGCTCCTCGGGAGGAAAGATGAGGTTTTCTGCTCCCATAAAGATTTACAGCCTTGGAAACCCTGTATAGGGTCACTATGAGTCGGAACCGACTCCATGGCACATAACAACAACAAACATCAAATATGCATTTAATGAAAGAAGTAAGGTTTGTCTCTGGAGCGTACAACCCTTTCATAGAATCAGGGCTAGATGTAAAGTCCAACCTTCAGCAAAAGATATTCAACTTCTTAAAATGACAAATGAAGAAACTGGATATCAGAGAAATAAAATGATATTGTTGGAAGAGGCAGAGCCAGGCCTGCAATCAAGCCATTTCCACTGTACTATGTGGCTTCTTCACTCACTGAACCACAGAAGCTATACAGTAGGCAAGTGAGGGGGAGGGAGAGGGCAATGAGCTTACGTGCCAAACCCAAACCAAGCACACAGCTATCAAGTCCATTCTGACTCACAGAGACCCTGCAGAACAGAGTAGAATTGCTCCCTAGGATTTCTGAGGCTGCCATCTTTAAGAACATACAGCCTCATCTTTCTACTGAGGAGTGGCTGGTGGGTTTGAAGTGCTGACCTTGCAATAAGTACTTTGCTTAACCCGCTAAGCCACCAGAGCCTGGGTGGCACTCTAAATTCTAACGTATTTCCCTGAGGCAGCCCACCACCAGCCAGAGTCACCCTACCAGGACAGTAACTCTGTGAGGTTAGGGCAATGTTCATTTCTGTTTTACACACAGATGTTAGGGTAGAGAGAGGCTAAAGAACTCACACAAGATCTCGCAGAGCTGGGACCTATAGCAGGACAACCTGGCCATTAAGCAATGTCCTACCCACTGCCCTGAAGGGAGGCACTGGTACTAAGCCAATGTGTCTGCACCATACTAGGTCTGAGAAGGACAAGGAAGAAATGATGAAGATGGGCCATGAGCTCACAGGAACAACCCTTACTTCCCCTCATGCGCATGATCCCATTGCTCAAGAGTTGCTGCTCCCAAGGAGTGTGGCAATACATGGGGCACAACAGGGATCTCTACTGAAGGCTGCTCTGATGTCAGAGGCCAGGGGCATTCATTCAGGTCCCCAGAGGAGAAGACGCCGAGTGGGGCTAGATGTGCAAGAGATTGATTGGAGATAGCACCTGAAAAGAATAAGCGGCACTGAGAAGGCAGAGAGAGCCTGTAGACTGATGCATGTCTGACACCTGTGAAGGAGAGAGGACGGAAGGAAGATAGTGCAGAAAGAGTTTTGTATTGCAGCCGAGTTCCTAGGAAATTCTGGCCAGATTAGCAGGGAGTAGTCCTCAAGCTAGTCATCTACTAAAAGAGTTCTGTGTCTTACAAGAATTGAGCTGTTTTAGTAGCCCAGCCATGTTCAGTCAGTAGGGGTTGATCTAGAAGGGCAGCATCTGGGACTGTCAATCAATCATGTTCTCTACCTTTTCATGGGTCATTTTCCTGGCTACCACACCCATAGCCAAAGCTGACACTTTTGTCAGTGAATCTGGGTGCCTTTGTGTGCGACATTAATACTACTGACCTTTACAGAGTACTTTTTCTTTCACATTCATTATCTAGGACAGTGGGGTTCCAGAAGACTCAGAGCAGATTGTTGGGCCCACCCCAGACCCAACACATAAGAATCTTTGGGATTGGACCCAGGACTCTGCATTTCAAATAGGTTCCTGGGATGACTTTATATGCATACTAGAACCACTAGTCTTCTATTAGTTCTTATAATGTTATTGTTGTCAGTTCCAAATCATAGTGACCCTGTATAACGTTTCTAAGGAGAGGCTGGTGGGTTGGAATCACTGACATTGTGGAGAGAGTCCAGTGCTTATCCTAGAATGCCATACCAAGGTTCCAAATTCCTGTCACAGCCATCTTCTTTGACCAGTGACGAAACGGAGGCTCAGAAGGACTAGGGACCTGGAGAATGAGGCCTTCCTGGAAAATGTGATGACATATCTTGGGAGGTGAGGACACAGCCTCTTGTACTAGGAGTCCATGAAGGGAACACCCATGTATATGCAGTATATATTGTCTGTCTCCTCCAGACAGAAGGCCAGCTTCAGGAAGATAGGTCTATTTTGCTCACTGAGGTATCCCCAGCACCTAACACAATGTCTGCCACATAGAGGTGCCATATGAATACCAGGTAAGGCAACGCATGGAGCATCTAGTAAAGTGTACTGGTTGGATGCCACCCTGCTCCTTGAGAGATGATAGGGGGGATTGAACTGACTCTGAGATGGCTCCTAGTTGTTCATTTGAAGATGACATTAATGGCTTACTTACCAGGGATCTGAGTACACAAAAAGAAACTCAAGTAACCGAGAAGACTCCACGTTCAACATTCACTACTCATTGCTCTCATTGTTCTGTGTGCAGGCTGACTATAATGGTGCCTGACAGAGAACAGACACTCGCTATGGGTTAATGCACCAGACTGCACAGTCGGTTTGAACCGCAAAATTGGCGGTTCAAGCTCACCAGTCATTCCTTGTAAACCTTAGAGTGGCAATGAGTCAGAATTGACTCCATGGCACTTAACAATACATGCACAGATATCAGAGTCCTAGTGTAATGCTGTAGAATAAGAGCTTGACTACTAACTGAAAAGTCGGCAGTTCAAGCCCACCAGCCACTCCTCAGAAACGTTATACAGGGTCACTAGAAGTCAGAACGGATTCAACAGCACTTAGAATGACAACTACATATGCATGTATGGAGTCCTGGTGTGGTGCTGTAGGGTAGGCATGGTACAGCTAACCGCATGTTGGCAGTTTAAACCCACCAGCCACTTCTTGGAAACAGAATTGCTATCAGTTGAAACCAAGGGTACCTGTATAGGGTTTCTGAGGCTGTAAATCTTTTCAGGAGCAGAGAGCCTCATCTTTCTCCCTTGGAGCAGCTGGCAGAATTTAGGCACTGACCTTAGTGTTTGAAATCCAGTGCTTATCCTATAGAGTCACTGTGCTCCCCAAATATGTATATGTTATTGTTAAGTGTCACTGAATCAGTTATGACTCATAGCTACCCTGTATAGGGTTTCCAAGGAGCAGCTGGTGGGTTTGAACCACCAACCTGGTGGTTAGCATTCCAGTGGTAATCCTACAGCACTACACCAGAACTCAATATTTGAATATGGAACTATATGTATGCATGTATTTTATATGTATGCATATGTATTGTTCTCTATATACATATAAAATGCATACAAATTCTATTTGCATATATATATTTATAGTTGTGTATACCCCACAGTAATGGCTGCAACCATGCATTGACAGAGAACTTCCAGAGGTTCAAGCCAGATTCAGAAGAGGACATGGAACGTGGGACATCATTACTGACATTAGCTAGATCTTGGTTGAAAGCAGAGATTAATACCAGAAAGATTTTTACCTGTGCTTTAGTGACTACGCAAAGGTTTCGATTACGTGGATCATGACAAAGTAAGGACAACATTATGGAGAATGAATATTCTGGAACACTTAATTGTGCTCATGAGGAACTTCTACATAGACCAAGAGGCAGTTGTTTGAACAAAACAAAGGAACACCAAATAGTTTAAAATTAGGAAAGGTGTGTGCCAGAGTTGTATTTTTCACCATACTTATTCAATCTCTATGCTAAGCAAATAACCTGAGAAGCTGGATTATATGAAGAAAAACATGGCATCAGAATAGGACAAAGACTCATTAACAACCTGTGATATGCAGGTGATACAACCTTACTTGCTGAAAGTGAAAAAGACTTAAAATACTGGTAAAGATAAAAGACTACGACTTTCAGTATGGATTCCACCTCAACATAAAGAAAACAAAAATCCTCATCACTGAACCAATAAATAACATCACAATAAATGGAGAAAAAATTGAAGTTGTCAAAGACTTAATTTTGCTCGGATCAACCATTAGCACTCATGGAATAATAGTCAAGAAATCAAGTGGCATATCACATTAGGCAAATTGGCTATACAAGTCCTCTCTAA